CAGCCATTTACACTCCTAGAAAATACAAAGCCCACTCGATGGCACACCTTTCCACCTCCGATTTAACTGTGGTTAGGATGGAATACGCCATCAAAAGGGAAAAAAGAACGTTAATCCTCGCATTTGCATACCTCCCCTCCGACGCAACCACGTCACCATCCAGCAAAGAGATGGAGAATCTGATTGAATACTGCCTGGAACAGTTGGGGCAGTAAGGATAACAATGCTAGAGGTAAGTCACTTTATGATTATATAATTACCAAAAATATTTGTATTTTAAATAAAGATACCACACCAATATTTTTCTCTCGCAGTCAAATACAAATAGATGTCACTTTATCCACAATTGGTATTTATAAATCAATTCTAAACTGGCAAATGTCTAATAACATTTCGATGTCAGACCACCGCTGGTTAACATTCAAAATAAACTTGATATTGCCGAACTCCACGCTATCTCGGAACTCTAGAAAGTCGGACAGGCAATCTGTGCCCACCTTTTTCAAGAGGCTCTGAGAGAGATGTAGGCCGAAACACCAAACAACAATACTGCGTTGGAAAAGTACACGAACACTATCCAAAGCACAATAAACAATGCCTATAAGAAATCCTGTCCTCTGAGACTGGTCCAACAAGATCAGATGACTACCGCATGGTGGTGTCACGAGTTGGATCACCTCAGGAAGATGGCTAGAAAATTTTTTGATAAGGCAAGAACCACAAAACTCAAAGAGGAATGGGGGATACTTACAAATCTCATCTCAGAGAATACAAAAACAGAGAGATGCATGGAGATCCTACTGCGAAGAAATCAAAGATTTCCAGCAGGCAGCGAGGCTTCAAAAAGTTCTCTCAAAAGATCCACAGTGAAGCATTGGTGCGCTAATCAAAGAGGATAGCACGAAAACTGCCAATCTCAAAAATAGCATCAAACTTCTGCTGTCAACACACTTCACTGACGTGGCGGACTTAGCAGAGGAAGAATACAATACATCTATCTATGATTGGCAAACTACCAAACACATTGCAGACGATGAAAAAATTAGATGGGCAATATCCAGCTTCTCTCCATTTAAATCGCCAGGACCTGACGGTATCTATCCAGCCCTACTTCAGTGGGGTCTGGAAGAACTCACACCGCACCTGTTGGGTCTGAGGTAAATCCCCAAAAAATGGAGAGAGGTAAAAGTGGTGTAATTATACCCAAACCTGGAAGGATGGATAACACTCTCCCAAATACATACCGACCAATTAGTCTGACATCGTTTTTCATGAAGACATTGGAAAGCCTATGCGGAAGGTACATTAGGGATGCGGTGATTACAACATCACTACACCCAAGCCAACATGCATACACCCCAGGCAGATCTACTGGTTCAGCCCTTCATCTAGTTGCTGGCCGGATAGAAAGATCCCTGAACAATAAGGAGTCCGCTTTGGGTGTTTTCATAGACATAGAAGGTGCTACCTTCCCAAAATTAATACACTCACTAATTTTGAGAACATACTCTGCGAAAGTATGCAAGTAGCTCTAAAAATTATCGAACAGTGGTGCAAGGACCATTCACTGTCTATCAATCCTAAGAAGACAGAAATTGTCCTTTTCACAAGGAAAATTATGAAAATTAAGTTAAAACCTCTAGAAGTCCTAAACACACAACTTTGCAATAGAGCAACAGAGCAAGTTAACATGAACTCGCATTTAGGAAACATGGAACTCACACTTCGAAAAAAGAGTTAAAAAAGCATACATTGCTTATGAACAATGCCGCCGAACCGTTGCGCGCACCTGGGGTTTCTCCCGCAGAGTCGTCGCATGAACTTACACGATTATCACAAGACCTATGCTAACATACGGTGCTCATCTATACAGATAGCAGACAAGCACTACTCACCCTGAACAGACTACGAATTTATTCAGGTTTAGTACTAGAATGTCACGAAGCTTTGGCCGTAGTCACCTTAAGATGGATTAAAGTTCACGCCACATCGAAAGGTAACTGTTTTGCTGATACACTAGCCAAGAAAGCAGTCAACCAAATACTTTTTAGACCTGGCCCTTCTATTGGCCTGACAAAATCGTTAGTGACAGACCTAATCAAAGAACATTCCTTTGTGAAATTCAAGGAAAGATGAGATGAAACAAGAAACTGCAGAAATGCCAGGTAGCTCTTAAGCAAACAAATACTTGACTATAACTAGACAGAATCTGCGCCTAGTCACAGGCATTCTGACTGGTCATTGCCAAGTACGAAAGCATCTCCATATCATGGGGCTGTCAGAATCCGCACTCAGCAGAGAGTGCTAACAAGAAGATGAGACCATCGAGCATATTCTTTACGATTGCTCGACGCTCTCATTTATTAGAAGATTTGTGTTCGGTGAGTATCGGTTAACACCGGCCGATATAAGAGAAGCACTTCTTGGCGACGTTGTCAACTACATTAAATCTGTAGGCTGGCTCATGAGCTAGGAGGTGCCTATCATCTCAGGAGGACGCACAATGAGCCTAATGAGGCCTAAGTGCCGTGGGGGTAACCCACCCTCCACACGTTACAGATATAGATACAACATTTCATAAACTTTAGTTTTTAAGCGACCCCAGATAAAATGATCAGATGATCAAGGTGACCAATGAATAGGAGTATCCCGAACTCCAATCCATCTTCCATAGTATTGTTCGTTTAAATAATCTCTTACAATGGGGAAAAAAGGAGGTGGAGGCCCATCGTTCATGGAAAGCATGTTACGGCATAAATTGAGCGGTAAGTTCAGGCAAATCTTGACGTAGAAAATGCAAGTAACTATTACTGTTAAGACGATCTGGCAATCTAAATAGACCAATCAAGTAAGTGTCCATAATACCCACCCATACATTCATTTTAAACTCTTGTTGAAAATGTTTCTCTTTAATGGCATGTGAATTTTCATTTGGGTAAATATTTGTTATACCACGTCGTGTAAAACATTCTTAGTCTGTGAACAACATTTTTCTGTGAAAAATTGGATCGACCACTCTGGGCTCTCGAATGACTTGTACAAAATGCAAACGAGACTCACAATCAGGAGGTAGGAGTTCCTGTACACTGAATGTGAAAGGGATAAATAAGTTGTTCTCTAATTATTCTGTTGGATGTGCTTTTTGAAACCCTAGTTTGGCGTGCCAGTCGTCGGATACTAATTCCGGGATTATTTTGAACTATTTCAAGTATTCCCTCCTCTGAAGCAGGAGTGCTGGCTTGACAAGGTCACTTAGCATTATTTCTGTTGACCAGTTTCTTGAAGTCGTCTCTCGATAAAGGCAAAAGTCTGATGATTCGGAATCTGTTGATTTGGAAATCTTTCATGGTGTACCCGAACAGTCTCACGGCAGTTGCCATTACAGAAACCAAGCACTAGTAACTAGCAAACGAATCACTTTGTGATAGTTAATTTTGGCTCAATTGACATATTTTGATCTCACCAATATACAGTAGCTGTATGTACACGAAATTGTGGGACACTGTACAGGAAAGTCATGTGTTGAACACATCAGACATTTATACTTTTTTGACATGAAGGAGATATTGCTAATAAGGTTCTGAAATCAAACAAATCATTTATACTCCAGGACCGTATCGTGCATTGCAGTTAAAAAGTAGCAAAACGCTCAAAAAATGTATAACTGTAGTCGATATATAAAGCAAAAAGACACAAAAGAATCCGAAAATGTTTTAATGGCAATTTAATAGGGAGAACTCGTTCCATAGTAAAACATATCCATTTTCTTTTTGAAAATAAATCCGCTGCGATAAAAATAAAAACAGAATTCTGTTTTTCAAATTTCTCTTAAACCAGTACTGGTATTATAAATTCATTAGTATCATTATACAAGTCCAGAAAATTGGTTTTCAGTTAATTGACCCTCTGTCAACTGCTTATGAAATCCGGATCACTCTGTATATTAATTTAAATTAAAAATATTAAAAATTATTATTTTGCTCTTGCATTTTAAGTAACTAGTTGTGATTTATAAATTTACCACTTAATTAAAAATTCGCACTAGTTATAAAAAGTTTCATATAATATGCATGGAGCTTGGTAATTTATTTTCCTCTACACTTATAGCCCAGCAGGATATTAGTAAAGTTAAATTAACTCATTAAATACACAGCCAAAGTATATTACAACAATGTACAGTTTAGTCAACGGAAACATAATATTGCGACATATTATTTGATTCTCTATACAGTATATCCTTGTTCGTAAGGATGTCTTCTAATATATGTTGAAAGGATTAAAGGATTTAACACAATAAAGGCATGTCATTAAATGAAAATCATCCAATCGAATATAAGCCTGTATTAATAATTGTTTAATCTACAATTTCAAGCAAAGTGAAAATAAATAAAGTATGATAAATATACCAACCAGTCTAATAATCAAAATTTTTAAATCTTTTGAGTTTGCTAATTTTATTTCCTAAATTTAAAATTTGGTATTTGTTAAATTTATTCCGAATTGAGCCTCAATCCTCGACAGGTTGTCTACAATAAATTGTGGAATGGTTTATTTATGGTTTCAAGATTGACTATTAAACCTTTACTGAAGATTCTAGACTAAACATTAATTTATTAATTAATAATTTTAGATTTATAATCAATCATATCATATTAAATTTTATTATAATAATTATTATTTTGATCAATAATAAATAAGTCATGGTACTTTACCTTAACAAAACTACAAATAAATTACGATAATATTTTGTGGAAAACTGAGTGTCAAAATTGAATTTTCAAAAATATAATGGACTGTATAGACATCAAATATATCAAGATATTTTAAGCCGAAAGTGCATGGATTATCGCGTTAAATAAGTTTAAAAATGAAAGTAAATATTAAGTTAAGTACGCCCATTATAAATTAGATCCATGCACAATAGGACTTATAAATAAAAAAAAACTACATAAATATATCTTAAACAGATACTAAAACAAAGTTAAGAAATGAGTACTGACCTGGATAGCGTTGGGCCACAAGCAGGAAACATTGTAGTTGTATGACGACCTTGAGATGGCTGAAGGAGTGGCTCTAGGCTTGCAGAGGGATTTTGATGGCGTCGATTTTCCATATTGAGCGATTTCTATGGATATGCTAGTTCCTGGCGGACATTTCAGTATCACCACTTCATCATCGCATCCTGCTCGTTGGTACGTCCTCAAAGTTCCTGATAATAAAGCTGAAGTCGGTTAACGAATTGGACAAAACACCACCACCATGAAAAAAAGGAGAAAATATTGTGTTAGGAGTTTGCCACCACCTCAAAATTTTGTTAGAAATTGTTTATATACATTCTAATTAAAATGTGAACAATAAATATAAAAATAAACATTATCTCAATTATTTTAAATAGTTTTGTAATTTCGTGCTCTATTATTTCTGGCATTAATTAATTAATTAATTATGAAACAGTCATTAAAGGATTTGTCAATTAATGATTTATTAATGGTTAAAACATTTCCAGTTCCCTGCTTAGCATTTTTACTTTCTTCAGTTAGAAAAGAGCTTCTTGATAACAGAACTCTTAAACATTCGCCATGTTATTATTATTATATTATAAAAGAAACTATTGAAATGATATACCTCTGATAAGACTAATCAATAATATTTTTCTTAAGAATCAGTCATTGATAACTACCGTCCTATTTCAATTTTAAATAAATTTTCTCATTATTTTGAAATAAATGGTTTTTCGTACACATCAATTTGGTTTTCGTTCAAATCGATTAACTACTTATGTTGCAATGTATGTGCCGTTGATTATATCGCTAAACGGAAAGTTTGTAGGAGTTCCTCTGTGCGATTTGTCAAAGGCTTTTTACTGTGTCACACGATATCCTTCTTGAAAAGCTCAGTTACTAAGGCGTTAAAGGAACTGCGTTACACCTTTTTAAATCATGTCTCAGCAATCGCTTTCAAAGTGTATTGTATAATAATAGACTGTCTGATTTAAACCCTGTAATTATAGGTGTTTCGCAAGGGTCAATTCTGGGGCCGTTATTTTTTATCGTTATACATAAATGATATATGCATTTTATGAAATAAAAAACGGTACAAGATTTTGACAAAATATGGGATATAGATCCTTATTAAACATACAATTATGAGTGTTCCATCGCTATAAATGCATATCAGCCTTCAGATTCATAAAAGAGCGCCATTATTTCCTACTAAGTCTAGTAATAACTCTCAACACTACAAATGCTGACTCAATTCGAGTACCCTCTAGCGGGATTAAAAACTAAAGGGCGGTAAAATCAAAAGTAACACAACGAATAGTCATATTGATGAATTCTGCAGAAAATTACATTTTTTTAATTATGGGTCATACTTGGTACTTTCACTATTTATATTGTATTGGTTAGGGTTAGAGTGACGTATGGTAGTTATGATGAAAAGATGTACACCTTCAAACTAAAATTGACCCCATGCGAGCATTTTTTAACATCTAAGATATGAATACCCAAAACCCCCGTCAAGTTTTCGTTTTGACACCTTATATATTATATTTAACATATATTTTGTTTATTTTCATCCGGTGCTTTTATTAAATTAACCTTTTAATTTTTTAGATTAGGGAAAAAGCAGTATGTTCTCTGGTTAAAACCCATTGGAAAAAATTCATTAGATAATGTAAGCTCAAATATTACAATTTTTATAAAAATTATGTAAATATAATCTAAATAAAAAGTCGCCATTAAAATAATGCAATACTCTTGGCAATATCTTCTCTAAATACCTCCAAATTTAAAATTAAGTTTGGAAGATCGTGCAAGGTTATAGTCGGCGACCTTCGCCAAGCATCAGCCACAAAAAGAAATTTCAAATATTTAGGTTGGCATAATGTTGACATGCAGTCCCTGTCATGTGACACGTCATGGCTACAATTTGTATTTAAAAATGTCGCAAAATAATGTTTTTGAGGTTGATGTCTCCAAGCAATTACTACTACAGGGAGTCTTCCCTCCTTCCCCGCGCTAAATTTCCCGAGGGGGTAGTCCCTCTCCTGTAATTGGCTTATTTAATCAATGTTACCAAGTTTGACAGCGCCAGTTCTGACACTTTCTGACACATGTCAATTTTTGATTTGTATTTTAGGAAAATGTTTCTTCAAGATTATATCATAAGTAAGTACAAACACAACCTAATTATCACAAGCGGTGCATTAGACAATCTTCTTTTATTTGCAATTAAAATTTATTTTCTTATCGAAAAAGTAAAATTAATAGGGAATAAACCCCAACTAAGTTTGTCTTCATCCATCTCATAATGATTATAGTAAAGGTTAATTATTTGTAAACATAAATAAAGAAAATTTAAACCTGTGACTTTATTTTAATCACATCTTTGTAAAGTTTATTGTTATTTTTTTATTGTAGGTTTCCATTTCTCGATATGATAATAAGAAATAAATGGTTCCAAAATTTAGGAATTCAACAAGTGACTACCTGAATAACTTTTTATGCTAATGAAGATTTTTATTTTAGACCTCAGGGGAGGAAAATATTAAAGAAAAATGCAATTTCAGTAAATTTCGACGAGAGAGGTATAAAAATCAATCCTGTCACTACTTCCTCGCCATATTCATCTGCTACTAAAATACTAAAACAGCAAGGAAGCAGAGAAACTTAAGTTTCTTTCAAAAATAATGTTTAAGGAAAAAAACAAAGTCACTTTTTGTTTACAATTTTTTTTAATTATTATTCAGATTCATCGCTACAGAAATCACTATAATCGCTGTTTGGTGTAATTATAATTGGAGCAATTTCTATTTTATCAATTATTTCCTCTCTATCGTACCATTTTGAGTTTTTTTTTTCTGTGTGGCTGATACTTTTTCCAAATTTGTGGGGTTATGGTCCGGAGTGCTTCTGATCACATATTTAAACAATCTTTTTTTTACCATCTCGACCAATATGTCCATTGTAATATTGTTTTGTAATGCCCCAAATAAGTTCAATTGGAAATAAGTTCAATTGGAAATAAGTTCAATTGGATTGAATATACAATCATAAGGAGGGAGGCGTAATGCTTTATGTCCGTATTGTTTTGCTAGAAGATCAGCCATGTAAATTTTTGGTGTTTTTTTTTAAACTGTGCAACAAGATTCAGAATTACCGCTTTAAACATAGCAAATGAAAATCTAATATTCTGATTTGTCAGCCATTCTTGTATTTTAATCTTTGCGCAGCTAGCGTTTGGTGTTTTATGTAACAATATACTGTGATATGAAGCATTGTCCAATATAATTAAGGATGATTCATTAAATTTTTTAAGTAACTGTTCTTCAAACCATTTAAAAAAATTCTCATTATTAATTTCACCATGATAATTACTCAGCTTACTTTGTGATGCTAATATAGCCTTTGCTCCTTCAATGAATCCATTTTCATTTCCAGCATTGAGTACAATGTACCTATAAATAAAAATTTCAACTGAATCATTCGTCTGCAAACAAATATATAGGTATTTTTAATTATATGATATAAAATGAACTTCATACATGTTGTAAATACCAATTTAATTTTTCAAGTTTGAAGGTTTGCCATCGCTACCAAGATGGCAGCAAACTTTTTTCTATTAACTTTTGATGTAAATATTTAAACATTTTAGGCTTGCTCTTTTATATCAGTATTTTCTGCATCGGCTTTTTAAAGACGTCTCTATAAAGCGTTTTACTACTAGTGTTTCTGCAGCAAAGTATTTCCATCTTGTACAGAGGAAGAATTAACGATTGCTTCAGTTTCTAAACCATCTGGTACATCATAAACTATATGATAAATTGCTATAACGTACGAAAGCAGCCCATTTTGCCCTTTTAAAATATAATTTAAAAATATATGGTCGTCAACGGTAGATACTTTCGCATCGGTAATCCTGCAGTTTACGTCGCTGCGTGTTGCGCATGCCTCTGCATAGTTTATCATTAATTGTCTTTTCGTTTTCCGAACAAGAAAAATCTGTATTTTACAAAACAAATATTTCAAAATATTCTAAAAATAAAGAATATTTTTATTAATTATTAAAAAACATTTAACCATGTATGTGGGCATCTAATAAGATAATATAAGCCCTTAGCGATAGCAAAATAAAGCTTACTAGCAATGGATGCAATTTAGCTGACATAACTGACGATTGAAAGCTCATAAAATTTGTGAAGTTTGTGAAATATTTAAATCCAATTTTTTAAATATTTTGAGGCTTACTTAATCTGCTTTTATTGACTCGTCTGTAATATGCATAAACACTGTAAAAGTACAGTGATTTTGTTTTATTTCCTGTATCAGACACATACAAGACATTATACATTTTAAAAATTGTAAAATTAGCCAATTTTTTAGTTAAATTAAAAAGTTTGGAAATGTGTGTTTCTACAGAGAAATGATACGCCACTGAACAAAAGGGGATGTTTACCTTCCCCTTGTGCCCGCTTCCTCACTTCGTCTACAGATGTTGCGTACACAACAATCGCCTACAAACTCGTTCCACGCTCCCTCTAGTAGTAATTACTCGGAGGTTGATGTGTGCTCTTGGCGAGGGTTGATTGTCAGGAGTTGCTTGTTTCTACCAACTGATTTTGGGTCAGCAACAAAAGGTTTCCAGACCTCAACCAAGTTTTTCCTAAATAAAATTTTCTGGGAACAAGGGAGGTTTGCAAAAAAATATGGTTTTAAACCTTTTATGTATAAACAATTATTTACTGTTATTTTATAAAAAGATGTCGAAAATGCTAGATTCAAATTTAAATATAGGAAGAGAAATTAATTAATTAATTAACTGACAATATTATTTTTAAATGTCAGTGCTAGCAAATTTTAAGATTTTACTTCATTTTAAATTAAGTTTGAAATAAGACTTTTATGTTTTTATTTTTAGGAACTTCTTAAAACAAAAAACGAAATATTTCAATCATATTACGAATTTTTAAGATTGTTAGGTCTATTGCGTAATTAAATTTTAAAAATACCAATCTCAGAGATTAATAAACTAGAGCCAAAACGTATTCTTTTTTTATACAAAATAAATGGAACGATCTTGCAAAAAGTTGAACGAGCAACTGAAACATTATTTTTATTTTTCAATTGGTACACTTAATAAAGTTATAACATCCAGCAAACCACTTGTCGAAAGTTTCAACCAGGAGTAATTCAAGATTTCCTCAATTTCACCATTATATATAA